ATAGTGTGGGTGTAGTTATGTTTGGTATATGATAGTGGTGGTTGTAGTTATGTTTGGTATATGATAGTGGCGGGTTTTAGTTATGTTTGGTTATGATAGTGTTGGTGTAGTTATGTTTGGTATATCATAGTGGCAGGTGTAGTTATGTTTGGTATTATGATAGTGTTGGTTTTAGTTATGTTTGGTATATGATAGTGTTGGTTGTAGTTATGTTTGGTATATATAGTGGGCAGTGTAGTTATGTTTGGTATTTTGATAGTGTTGGTGTAGTTATGTTTGGTATATTATAGTGGCAGTGTGTGTTATGTTTGGTATATGATAGTGTTGGTGTAGTTATGTTTGGTATATGATAGTGGCGGGTTGTAGTTATGTTTGGTATATGATAGTGTTGGTGTAGTTATGTTTGGTATATCATAGTGGCAGTGTTTGTTATGTTTGGTATATGATAGTGTTGGGGTAGTTATGTTTGGTATATGATAGTGGCGTTTTAGTTATTTTGGTATATGATAGTGTTGGTGTAGTTTATGTTTGGTATATGATAGTGTTGGTGTAGTTATGTTTGGTATATGATAGTGGCGGTTTGTTGTTGTATTATGTTTGGTTTATTGATTTAGTGTGTGGTGTAGTTATGTTTGTTATATGATAGTGGAGTTGTAGTTATGTTTGGTATTATGGGGGGTTAGTGTTGGTGTGTAGTTATGTTTGGTTATGATAGTGGCGGTGTAGTTATGTTTGGTATATGATAGTGTTGGTTTTTAGTTATGTTTGGTATATGATAGGGGTTGGTGTAGTTATGTTTGGTATATGATAGTGTTGGTGTAGTTATGTTTGGTATATGATAGTGTTGGTGTAGTTATGTTTGGTATATATAGTGGGTTTGTAGTTATGTTTGGTATATGATAGTGTTGGTGTAGTTTATGTTTGGTATATGATAGTGTTGGTGTAGTTATGTTTGGTATATGATAGTGTTGGTGTAGTTATGTTTGGTATATGATGTGTGTGGTGTAGTTTTTGTTTGGTATATGATAGTGGTGGTGTAGTTATGTTTGGTATATGATAGTGTTGGTGTAGTTATGTTTGGTATATGATAGTGGCAGTGTAGTTATGTTTGGTATATGATAGTGGGTGTTTTAGTTATGTTTGGTATATGATAGTGTTGGTGTAGTTATGTTTGGTATATGATAGTGTTGGTGTAGTTATGTTTGGTATATGATAGTGGTGGTGTAGTTATGTTTGGGATATGATAGTGTTGGTGTAGTTATGTTTGGTATTATAATGTTTGGGTGTAGTTATGTTTGGTATATGATAGTGTTGGTGTAGTTATGTTTGGTATATGATAGTGTTGGTGTAGTTATGTTTGGTATATATAGTGTTTTGGGGTAGTTATGTTTGGTATATGATAGTGTTGGTGTAGTTATGTTTGGTATATGATAGTGTTGGTGTAGTTATGTTTGGTATATGATAGTGTTGGTGTAGTTATGTTTGGTATATGATAGTGTTGGTGTAGTTATGTTTGGTTTATGATAGTGTTGGTGTAGTTATGTTTGGTATATGATAGTGTTGGTGTTAGTTATGTTTGGTATATCATAGTGTTGGTGTAGTTATGTTTGGTATATGTAGTGTTGGTGTAGTTATGTTTGGTATATGATGTGTTGGTGTTAGTTATGTTTGGTATATCATAGTGTTGGTGTAGTTATGTTTGGTATATGATAGTGTTGGTGTAGTTATGTTTGGTTATGATAGTGTTGGTGTAGTTATGTTTGGTATTATAGTGTTGGTGTAGTTATGTTTGGTATTTTAGTGGCGGTGTAGTTATGTTTGGTATATGATGTGTTGGTGTAGTTATGTTTGGTATTTGATAGTGGCGGTGTTTGTTATGTTTGGTATATGATAGTGTTGGGTTAGTTATGTTTGGTATATGATAGTGTGGTGTAGTTATGTTTGGTATATGATACTGTGGCTGTAGTTTTTGTTTGGTATATATAGTGTCGGTGTAGTTTATGTTTGGGATATGATAGTGTTGGTGTAGTTATGTTTGGTATATGATAGTGTTGGTTAGTTATGTTTTGGGATATGATAGTGTGGTGTAGTTATGTTTGGTATATGATAGTGTGGTGTAGTTATGTTTGGTATATGATAGTGGCGTGTAGTTATGTTTGGTATATGATAGTGGCAGTGTAGTTATGTTTGGTATATGTAGGTTGGTGTAGTTATGTTTGGTATATGATAGTGGCAGTGTAGTTATGTTTGGTATATGATAGTGGAGTGTAGTTATGTTTGGTAATATGATAGTGGTGGTGTAGTTATGTTTGGTATATGATAGTGTGGTGTAGTTATGTTTGGTATATGATAGTGTTGGTGTAGTTATGTTTGGTTATGATAGTGGGTTTGTTGTAGTTATGTTTGGTAATGATAGTGGTGGTGTAGTTATGTTTGGTATATGATAGTGGTGGTGTAGTTATGTTTGGTATATGAAGTGGTGTGTAGTTATGTTTGGTATATGATAGTGGGGTGTAGTTATGTTTGGTAATGATAGTGGGTGTAGTTATGTTTGTATATGATAGTGGCGGGTGTAGTTATATTTGGTATTATAGTGGGGTGTAGTTATGTTTGGTATATGATAGTGGTGGTGTAGTTATGTTTGGTATATATAGTGGCGTGTTAGTTATGTTTGGTAATGATAGTGTGTGTAGTTATGTTTGTTAATGATAGTGGCGGTGTAGTTATGTTTGGTATTGTAGTGGCGGTGTGTTATGTTTGGCTTATTGATGTGTTGTGTAGTTATGTTGGTATATTAGTGTTGGTGTAGTTATGTTTGGTATATGATAGGTGCTGTGTAGTTATGTTTGGTATGATAGTTGGATGTAGTTATGTTTGGTATATAGTGGCAGTGTAGTTGTTTGGTATATGATAGTGTTGGTGTAGTTATGTTTGGTATATCATAGTGGCAGTGTGTTTGTTTGGTATATGATAGTGTTGGTGTAGTTATGTTTGGTATTGATAGTGTTGGTGTAGTTATGTTTGGTATATGATAGTGGGTGTAGTTATTTTTTGGTATATGATAGTGTTGGTGTAGTTATGTTTGGTATATGATAGTGGCGGTGTAGTTATGTTTGGTATATGATAGTGTTGTTGTAGTTAGTTGGTATTGATAGTGGTGGTGTAGTTATGTTTGGTTATGATGTGGGATGTAGTTATGTTTGGTATATCAAGTGGCAATTTAGTTATGTTTGGAAAAGGAATAGTGTTGGTGTAGTTATGTCTGGTATATGATATGTTGGTTTTAGTTATGGGTTAGTGATTGAGGTGTATTTAATTGTTTATGTTTGGTGAGTTTATATTTGTGGTAAACCTTATGTCGATTTTTGTAGTATTTTGCAGATGTAGTGTTTTAATATAGTACCATTGAAAGTAGGGAGACGTGATACCATTGTGTCAGCTTGACCAGCAACTGTGCCAGCCATGAGCGCACTGCAGTCCAGCAGCACTTACAGACTCCACAGCCATGCGTCATGGCCATCATGCAGCCGCAACCTGGGGCCCGCCATGGCAAGTGGCCAAGTCAGACCATACTGCATCTCAGTCAGCAACCATGCTATCAGCACTGCAACTTCAGCTACCTACTAGTACACAGGCAGTTACATACCAGCACCCATAAAGTATCCACTGTACCAGTGATCAATCAGTGATTACTGAACATAGTATGACATATTCGTTAACGGATACTTTGAATGTACTACACATTGGAGTACGAATTGGAACAGTTGTCATTGAGGTGTAGTAAATTCCAAGCATTTGTAGTAACTCTGTGTACTATGTTATAATTAAATGGGTATTAATATATGCTACAGACACGTGTGCCACATTCGTACACGTACTCAGTGCACCACAAGGTACCTTAACTTCACAGGTCACTGCCCATAGTGGCACAGGTACTAAGTTCAACATAAGGTACAAGTCACAGTACTACACTGGCACAGGCACTAGTCCACAATACCAGGCTCAACAAGGTATATTTTACAGACAGGTCAAAGTCACTAATTCCACCCAAAACGTACTACAGCAGTTCCAACGGAACCACATTTAGGCATGTCAAGAATTACCGACATCTGTAGCCACATGTACACTAGGGTACTACATGAATTAACAAGGATAGTTTACAGTTAAATTACAGTCACATGGAGATTTAAATGTACAACGTACTTGATCCAAGTTACTCACTCGGACACAGTTCAAACGTAAGTCCAACAGTACTAGTGACTCACACGCACTGTATTAACACCAGGTACACTATTAGTTACTATCACTAGTACTTATCAGTTGAACACTAGACCTATGCATCTAAGGTAAACTCATTCGAGACTAGGTCCTACAGCACATAGGGACACCATAATTTAGGCAGCTAACAACATTATAAGACGTAGTCCAGGAATAAATATTCAGGTTTAACATAAATTTAAAACCGGTAATCAGGACACTAGGTTTTCTACAGTAAAATAGGTAATACAGTGAAGACACTTTGGCACAGCCGATCAGGAATAAACCGGCCGGCAATAGGTGAGGTGAGGGTAGATTAGAGAGTGGTATAGTGTAAGTAGTGCTGTTTGGGGGGGCATAGTACCGTATCTTGGAAAGGATGCCTACTGTTTTGGAGATCTTCTTGGTTATGTGGTGGATGTGGCTTTGAAATTTAATGTTGCAGTCCAGGTGAAGACATAAAAATTTTGTCTTAATGTGTCTTGTTATGGAAGAACCATTGATCAATATGTTAACTTGGATATTTAAAGCTCTGTTTCCAAGCATTATGTAGTGAGTTTTGTCTATATTGAAAGTGAGTTTGTTAGTTGTCATTCAGGCAGATATTTTTAGTAACTGGTCCTTAACAGTGTCACAGAGCATAGTTGAGTTTGAGTGGGAGAAGACGTGTCATCTGTCAAGAGAATAATAAGTTACAACATACACCAGCTGTCACTGACTGTAGTCTTAACCATCTGTTGCAGCATAACTACAGGGGCAAGACAGACACACTGTACTACCAGCTGGGTGAGAAGTACACCCAGCACAACCAGCTGCCATCTAAGATGGTGCTGGTCCTGCAACCTGGCACCTCAGCACAGCTGGTTATTTACAACCCTGATGCTCATCGTCGCCCCCAGTTACTGACAGTCAGGGTCTCCAGTCCCTATGTTGAGGTTAGTAACAAGGTCCCTATGTTGAGGTTAGTAACAAGGTCTCTATGTTGAGGTTAGTAACAAGGTGCCACTGTTAAGGTTAGTAACAAAGTCTCCATGTTGAGGTTAGTAACAAAGTCTCCATGTTGAGGTTAGTAGCAAGATCCCCATGTTGAGGTTAGTAACAAGGTCCCTTGTTGAGGTTAGTTACAAGGTACCCATGTTGAGGTTAGTAACAAGGTACCCATGTTGAGGTTAGTAACAAGGTACCCATGTTGAGGTTAGCAACAAGGTACCCATGTTGAGGTTAGTAACAAGGTACAGTAGGGCCCCACTTTACAGTGTTTCGCTTTATGACGTTCTGCTAATATGGATGTTTCAAATTTTGACCAAAACTTGCTACACGGCTCCCCCCACCTGACTTTCTAATATGGTCTCTGTGGGCCACCTGGTTTGTTTACATTCTCCGTGAGGTCTGCGTCTTTCCATTATGTCTGGAAACTTTCCAAAATTTCAAGTGTTTTAAAGTTATTTCATATTGTATAGTCTGATAATTATACTTATGTGTACCTGTATCTAAGTAAGCTTTACACACTGTGCTGGCATGCAGGTACACATTAAAATCACTAAGAGTGTCTTAATAGTCTCAAAGATGCCATATTAATAATGTTAACAATAAAACGCAATAATAATCACTCTGAGGCACATTAAATGTTGTATACAGTGGTACCTTGGGATATGAATTTATTTTGTTCCAAAAGGCTGTTCGAGTGCTGACATTGAACGAATTTGTTCCCATAAGGAATAATGTAAATTAAATTTATCTGTTTCAGGCCTCCAAAAATACACTTACTGAAGCACTTACATAAATACATGAGTTTTGGGCTGCTCGTATCCCAAGGTGCCGCTGTATTACTTTAATATGAACATTTTCATTAATTTATCCATGATATTTTTTCAAAATTATATAATAAACACGCTACGTAACATATAAACATAAATGCACCAACTCTAGAATAAATTAGCATAAAGATGAGATGTTTTTCCAGTCGTTTTGTCGGAGTGTTGGATGAATGATATTTTCTATAGTACACAGTAGTATTACTGGGGGTATACCTGGAGTATACCTGGAGAGGATTTTGGGGGTCAACACCCCTGTGGCCCAGTCTGTAACCTGGCCTCATGGTGGATCAGGGCCTGATCAGCCAGGCTGTTACTGTTGGCTACATGCAAGCCGACATATGAACCACAGCCCGGCTGGTCATGCACTAACTTTAGGTGCCTGTCCATTGCCTTCTTGAAGACAGCCAGAGGTCTATTGGTAATCCCCGTTATGCATGCTGGGAGGCAGTTGAACAGTATGCCTTCACTCAGAGCGTCATTCCTTCTAATAATGGTGTGTTACGTGAGAATGGGAGTGTTGCTCTTTATTTATTCTCTTGTACTAACATGGAAACAACTTGTAAACAATGTAAGGTGTTTGCATTATGGTATAAGCTTCACAAACATGGAAATAAGTCACTCTGTCTGACCATTTTGGGTTATCCTGGGTAATCTACACATATGCTGCTATGTATGACAATAAGATAAGATAAGATAAGATTTCGTTCGAATTTTTAACCCCGGAGGGTTAGCCACCCAGGATAACCCAAGAAAGTCAGTGCGTCATCGAGGACTGTCTAACTTATTTCTATTGGGGTCCTTAATCTTGTCCCCCAGGATGCGACCCACACCAGTCGACTAACACCCAGGTACCTATTTGCTGCTAGGTGAACAGGACAACAGGTGTAAGGAAACGTGTCGGAATGTTTCCACCCGCCGGGAATCGAACCCGGGCCCTCCGTGTGTGAAGCGGGAGCTTTAGCCACCGGGCCACCGGGCCAATCTATGTAACTCTATTTATGTGTACCTGTTCCTGAATAAATTTACTTACTCACTCACAAACATGGAAGTGAACGTGTATGAACCATAACCAGACACAATCATCTGCTTGTTTATGTACTCTGTTTCTCTCTCCTCTCTCATTTACTCATTCTCTCTTTTATTCATTTTATCTTGTTTACTCACTTCTCACCCAACATTAAGACTTCAGATACTTTAGGATAAATAATGAGTGTACTGTATTTGTTTTTTCTTTTTATTGTTTTTAATGCCTAGTTCTATCGCTAAGTTAATACAGTGGAATGTCGATTTTTGTATGCCCAACTTTTCGTAGGATTCAATTTTGATGAAATTTTTCATCGAAATTGTGTCCCAGTTTTCGTACATCTGCTTGCTTTTTGTAGAGTTGAAAATGGTCCATACCAAACTTGTTCACCTGCCCGCATGACTCGGCCACTCATTTCCTGGAATCGAGCGCCCACGCAAATCATCCCATGCATTCATGACTCAGTCTACCTTTGTTTCTCATTGAGTGAGCATCACCACACTTGTTCATCCAAAACATTTTATAATAATCCATTGTTTTTTGTGCTTGTTTTTTGGGTGCGACTGCTAAATAAGCCACCATGGGACCAAAGAAAATTCCCAATGCCAGTCCTTTGATGAAGAAGGCGAGAAACACGATAGAATTCAAGAAAGAACTCGTAGCAAAGTACGAAAGTGGCATACGCATGTTTATATGCTTTGTAACATGTTTTTTGTATAATTTTGAAGAAAATATCATAGATGGATTAATAAAAGTGTCTATATCAATGTAAAATAAGAAATTTAATGTGCCCAAGAGTGATCATTATTAGTATTATGTAATGTTTTCCTTTCACCCAGCAACTGCACCTCCAAAGCATATAAACATAGCATATTTATATGCCAGGCGGAGAGAAAACATTACGTTTTCTCTGGTCCAGCAACAAAGAAAACGTGTATGAATCTGCGTTTGGCCTAGTGTCACTCCCGCTTTTGTTTACAATTCTCAGCATGAATTATTAATTACTTCTCCCTTCGTTTAGGATGGCATCTAAAGGTAGTTGTTAAAAATGATTAAATTCAGTGAACAAGATATGTTGATGGTAATAATATGGCTCTGGGCCACAGTGTAGGTAGCTGGTAGGTGTAGCCCAGGCGGGCTACACCTGCTGGCTACCTACGCTGACTTCCTACAAATAAATACTACTCACCTCTCGTCCAACATTAAAATGGATTAATTGGATTTACATCATTTCTTATGGGAAATATTGTTTCAGTTTTCATAGAATTCAGTTTTCGCCAGACTTTTTCGAATGGATTAATCACAAAAACTGAGATTCCACTGTATATGTTAGTGTAAACTTGTTATCTGGCATTTACAGTGGTTCCCCGACCTACAATATTAATCCATTCCTTAGAGCCCTCAGTAAGATGAAATTATCGTAGGTTGAATTAATTTTCCCCATAAGAAATAATGGAAATCAAATTAATCCGTGCAAGACACCCAAAAGTATGAAAAATTTTTTTTTTACCACATGAAATATACATTTTCCTACACACAAAAGAAGGATACATGCACAATAGTAGAGTAGTACATACACAGTATATATTGTGCATGTACTAGTCTACTAAATGAAGAATAAATGACACTTACCTTTATTGAAGATGCAGCAATGACTGATGAGACACTGTGTCCTGGGAGTGCCTTTTCCTCCTGAGTACTGTAGGTCCTGTTTGGCATTTTCTTCCAGAACAGGCCTTATCACACTGTGTATGCCACTATGATTCTTAAATCTCTCAAACCAACCTTTGCTGGCCTTAAATTCACCAATATGAGCACTAGTTCCAGGCATTTTTTCCTGTTCACCTGGGTGTTAGTTGACTGGTGTGGGTTGCATCCTGGGACACAAGATTAAGGACCCCAATGGAAATAAGTTTGACAGTCCTCGATGACACACTGACTTTTTTGGGTTATCCTGGGTGGCTAACCCTCTGGGGTTAACTGTTTCTCAGTATTCTCAACAAGCCACACCAACAACGATGCTATAGCAGCAGCAGCAGCTGACGGTGCTACAGCAGCAGCAGCAGCTGACGGTGCTACAGCAGCAGCAGCAGCAGGTGATGGTGCTACAGCAGCAGCAGCAGCTGATGGTGCTACAGCAGCAACAGCAGCAGCTGACAGTGCTACAGCAGCAGCGGCAGCTGACAGTGGTACGATAGCATTTCGATAATATTTCTCCCCTTTTTGCCACAGGGTTGGCACTAGAAGCTTTCTTTGGGCTTATGGTGGCTTATTTAGCAGTTAGAAGCACTAAAAACACTGGAATAATACAAAATATTCCGAATGTATGTGTGGGAGCAACTGCTCTGGCTTGTAAACATTGGCACACTAACTGAAGGCAGGCCAGCTGAGGTGCGCTCAGGCAGACGGACATGTGGACGCGTACCAGATGAATGCTGTAGGTTGAGTTTTTCAACGTACGTCGGGGTGAAATTTTTACGCTGAAAAGCATTGTAGGTTGGTTTTAACATGGGTTGGGGACATCGTTTGTCGGAGGTCCACTGTATATGCAGTAATGTCTGCTTTCCAACAGTAGGTAAACTCCAGGTAAACTCCAGGTAGCCTGGAACCTAACCTGCTGTATAAGTGGGGTCCTACTGTACCTAGTAACAAGGTACCAATGTTAAGGTTTGTAACAAGGTACCTAGTAACAGGGTACTAATGTTAAGGTTAGCAACAAGGTACCAGTGTTAAGGTTAGTAACAAAATACCATTCTTGAAGTTAGTAACTAGATTGACAGGTACTTGTTTCATAGCACGTTCTGGATGAGTCATACACTGACACACATGTTGTTCACAGGTGATAGACAGGAAGGACCAGACGGTGCCGTGCCAGGTGGACCCGTCTTCGTGCAGTCGTCCGAGGCATCAAACGACATGTTTGACGTAACCTTCCTGGTTGACCTGCCATCACTCTCACTCACCACCTACACCATCAAGATCGTTGACCCCGAGAAGGTCAACCAACAGTGAGTGTCCTGTTGATAATTTATGGCACTGCTGGTGGCTCCACCGTGGTGTAAATCATCAACCTTTGATGTCCTCTGTCTTGCAGGTTGATGATTTATGGTGCAGCTGGTTGCTCCACCATGGTGTAAATCAGCAACCATTGACATCCTCCATCTTTCAGGTTGATGATTTACAGTGTAGCTGGTTGCTCTGCCATGGTGTAAATCAACCATCAGTATACTCCATCTTTCAGGTTTGTGAGTTATGGCAAGGTTGTTAGCCGTGGTATGGTTGCTCCCTCGGTGCCTGCCGTCTTCACCGCCATAGAGGAGACCAACGGCCAGTCATTCACCCTCCATAATGACCATCTACAAGCAAGATTTGGCAGTAATGGTCTGATGCAGTCACTGACCGCCCAGGGCCGAACACTGGACCTCAACCTGGAGTTTGTCAAATATGGCGTTAAGTAAGACTTTGTTGCCTTTGTCGTAGACTTTGTCTTTAGGTAGACGTGCGTCACTTTCAGTCTTTAACCCTTAAACGGTCCAAACGTATATATACGTTTTCGTTTTCATTCATTCAACATTGCCACGATAAGCCTGAGTCGCCTAGACATGAGAGAATGGGTGTGTGCACTCACTGTGCGCTACATTAAAATAGTTGGGGATGCCTGGGTACCATATGCTCCTTTTTCTTATTAAAAAAGACAATTTTTTTTCTCAAAAAATTTGGGGTGCTACGCGAGTGAATGTATATATACGTTTGGACCGTTTAAGGGTTAATAGACAGACATATGTCACGTTCAGTCTTTAACCCTTTGAGGGTCTGTCCTGTAGTTCTACGGCCTTGAAGCCAGGGTCCAAGCCATAGTTGTGCATCATGAGCTTAGCTCACTCAGATAAGCTGTGAGTGGCACATCTATATGGTAAATGTGCACCATATAAAACAAATCCTGCAGTACACAGTGCATAATGAGAAAAAAACTGTGACCATATCTTTGTATTAAAACAGTGACTTTGCTGTGTTTTTCGTATGTTTTTTAAAGTTGTATTCACAGTTTCTTGGTCTCCTTTGATAGAATGAAAACTATATTACAGAAACAGAAATGATTTTGTTTGGTTTTAGTGCTGAAAATGTCTTGAAACTGAGCTCAAAGTAGCAGAAATGTTCAAATTTTTGCCGATGTCCAAGAGTAAACAAATGACATAACATGTCCAATGAACGTCAGTTGGTGGGTTTAATATATGTTCACAAATGTGCTGATATTATTTATACAATTATTGCAGTATTGCATAACAGTAAATCTTCTATTTTTTGGTGTTAATAAAGTCATTATGTGACTAAAAATTCAAAATGGAATTCATGTGTAAAGCCTGAAAACATAACTAATAAACAGAGGAAATGTTATTTTAGTGCCAGGAATGTCTGCATTGTTTATTCTGGACTATTTGGATATTGGAATATTTTGAACTTTGTGTGAAATTGGCCAAATTACCAATTTCTGATCACTTATTGGGTAGTTGAAATAGTTGATTGGGCAGTTTCTTGTGCTCAATTGATAAAATAGAAGTGATACTAGCAAAATAGCTAAGAATTTGGTCAACTGGAATAATGTAATTGGCCTAAAATGAGAGTCAAAGTGGGCAAAATCGCCGATGCATAAATATCACTGACGCAGCAAAATTTATGATAGTGTAATTTCGTCAGTTTTCCATCAAGTTGCATACTTTTTTTTTATTTCCTTCAGAAAAAGATTCTTTACCATTTCATAAGAAAAAATAATTTTTTTTTTTTTAAATTCTTTGACCCCGAGGACAAGTTTCAGATCAGGTGTCTGGACCCTGAAAGGTTTAATAGATAGACGTGTGTCACTTTCAGTCTTTAACAGATGGACGTATGTCATTTTCTGTCTTTATTAGATGGACGTATGTCACTTTCAGTCACTTTCAGTCTTTAATAGATGGACGTATGTCGCTTTCAGTCTTTAATAAATAGACATATTTAACTTTCAGTCTTTAATAGATAGATGTATGCCCACTTTCAGTTTTTAAATTTTAGATAGATGTATGTCACTTTCAGTCTTTAATAGATGGATGTATGTCACTTTCAGTCTTTAATAGATAGATGTATGTCATTTTCTGTCTTTAATAGATAGACGTATGTCACTTTCAGTCTTTAATAGATAGATGTATGTCACTTTCAGTCTTTAATAGATAGATGTATGTCACTTTCAGTCTTTAATAGATAGATGTATGTCACTTTCAGTCTTTAATAGATAGATGTATGTCACTTTCAGTCTTTAATAGATAGATGTATGTCATTTTCTGTCTTTAATAGATAGACGTATGTCACTTTCAGTCTTTAATAGATAGATGTATGTCACTTTCAGTCTTTAATAGATAGACTTGTTTTTTCTGTCTTTAATAGATAGACGTATGTCACTTTCAGTCTTTAATAGATAGACATGCATCAAATCTGATTCAAAATAATATTTTGTAGTTTGTGGTGGACTTTATCTTGATACAGTGTCAGTGTAAGAGTGTCAGTGTAAGAGTGTCAGTGTAAGAGTGTCAGTGTAAGAGTGTCAGTCTAAGAGTGTCAGTGTAAGAGTGTCAGTGTAAGAGTGTCAGTCTAAGAGTGTCAGTCTAAGAGTGTCAGTGTAAGAGTGTCAGTGTAAGAGTGTCAGTCTAAGAGTGTCAGTCTAAGAGTGTCAGTGTAAGATGTCAGTGAAAGTGTAAGTGTAAGAATGTCCAGTGTTAAGTGTGTCAGTCTAAGAGTGTCACTAAGTTGTGTTGTCTAAGAGTGTCAGTGTAAGAGTGTCAGTCTAAGAGTGTCAGTCTAAGAGTGTCAGTCTAAGAGTGTTAGTCTAAGAGTGTCAGTGTAAGAGTGTCAGTCTAAGAGTGTCAGTCTAAGAGTGTCAGTCTAAGAGTGTTAGTCTAAGAGTGTCAGTGTAAAGAGTCAGTGTAAGAGTGTCAGTCTAGAGTGTCAGTCTAAGAGTGTTAGTCTAAGAGTGTCAGTGTACAGAGTGTCAGTGTAAGAGTGTCAGTCAAAAAAAGAGTGTCAGTCTAAAGTGTTAGTCAAAGAGTGTCAAGTTAAGAGGTGTCAGTCTAAGAGTGTCAGTTAAGAGTGTCAGTCTAAGTTGTTAGTCTAAGAGTGTTCTGTCTAAGAGTGTCAGTTAAGAGTGTCAGTGTAAGAGTGTCAGTTGAAAGAGTGTCAGTCTAAGAGTGTCAGTCTAAGAGTGTTAGTCTAAGAGTGTCAGTGTAAGAGTGTCAGTGTAAGAGTGTCAGTGTAAGAGTGTCAGTCTAAGAGTGTTAGTCTAAGAGTGTAGTCTAAGAGTGTCAGTCTAATAGTGTCAGTCTAAGAGTGTCATCTAAGAGTGTCAGTTAAGAGTTTAGTCTAAAGTGTTAGTCTAAGAGTGTCAGTCTAAGGGGTGTCAGTCTAAGAAGTCTGTCTAAGAAGTGTCAGTCAAAGTGTTAGTCTAAGATGTCAGTCTAAGAGTGTCAGTGTAAGAGTGTCAGTGTAAGTTTTGTCAGTGTAAGAGTGTCAGTGTAAGAGTGTCAGTGTAAGAGTGTCAGTGTAGAGTGTCAGTGTAAGAGTGTCAGTGTATGAGTGTCAGTGTAAGAGTGTCATGTAGGGAGTGTCAGTGTAAGAGTGTCATGTAAGAGTGTCAGTGTAAGAGTGTCAGTGTAAGAGTGTCAGTCTAAAGAGTGTCAGTGAAAGAGTGTCAGTGTAAGAGTGTCAGTGTAGGGAGTGTCAGTGTAAAGTGTCAGTTTTAAAGAGTGTCATGTAGAGTGTCAGTGTAAGAGTGTCAGTCTAGATGTCAGTGTAAGAGTGTCAGTGTAAGAGTGTAGTGTAAGTGTCAGTGTAATAGTGTCCGTGTAAGAGTGTCAGTCTAGAGTGTCATGTATTAGAGTGTCAGTGTAAGATGTCAGTCTAAGAGTGTCAGTTAAGATGTCTGTCTAAGAGTGTCAGTGTAAGAGTGTCAGTGTAAGTTGTCATGTAAGAGTGTCAGTGTAAGAGTTGTCATGTAAGAGTGTCTAGTGTAAGAGTGTCAGTGTAAGAGTGTCAGTGTAAGAGTGTCAGTGTAAGAGTGTCAGTGTAAGAGTGTCAGTGTTAAGAGTGTCAGTCAAGATTTCTGTCTAAGATTGTCAGTGTAAGAGTGTCAGTGTAAGAGTGTCAGTGTAAGAGTGTCAGTCTAAGAGTGTCAGTCTAAGAGTGTCAGTCTAAGAGTGTTAGTCTAAGAGTGTCAGTGTAAGAGTGTCAGTGTAAGAGTGTCAGTGTAAGAGTGTCAGTGTAAGAGTGTCAGTGTAAGAGTGTCAGTGTAAGAGTGTCAGTGTAAGAGTGTCAGTCTAAGAGTGTCAGTCTAAGAGTGTCAGTGTAAGAGTGTCAGTGTAAGAGTGTCAGTGTAAGAGTGTCAGTGTAAGAGTGTCAGTGTAAGAGTGTCAGTCTAAGAGTGTCAGTCTAAGAGTGGTAATGGGTAGGTGATCATTACTGTGGTAATCAACAAAGGTTGTCATCACAGGAAACCACAGAGAGACGGCTGGTGCGTACCTCTTCCTGCCAGACAAGGAGGCAACACCGCTACCGGTGGGTCAACCAGCGGTGCTGACGGTGCTGGGTCCGCTACTCTCCACCGTCACCACCCACCTCAAGAACATCATCCACACCGTCACTGTCAAGAGCTCACCTGGTGGGTGTTACGGTGCTGCCACGCTGTGCACCATACTCATGATGACACTGTTGCAATCTTCACATAATGCTGTTTTGCAATATTTTACACTCCCTGTTTTACAATGACTATTTTACACTCCCTGTTTTACATTCCGTTTTCTGGTCTTTGTGTTGTGTGAGACCAGGCGTAGATGGCATGGGTGTGGAGATCAACAACTTGGTGAACATTAAGTTGGAGAGGAACTATGAGTTTGCCATGCGTCTTAATACTGACATCAAGAACGGTGATGTCTTCTACACTGACCTTAATGGCTTTCAGGTTAGTATTGGTAGTAGTAGTAGTAGTAGTACTAGTAGTAATAGTAGCAGCAGTAGCAGTAGTTGTGTCATGTCAGTGCATCACAAGCCAACATTGTTCCATCTTCCAAGAAATCAGTCTCTCCCTCAGCTGTCATACCTTGATTGTAAATAGCCATAAGGGATCAGCCAATAAATTCTTGTAGAATTGGGCCTACTGATCCATGTTAGGCAGGCCTGTTAAATTCATCACTTCACTTGAAATGTTGTTGTAATTGTTGCAACACACACTAGATTGACAATTAAGATGTGATTTTTTATAACATTTTCGGTATGCAAACATGGCACAGTTGCCGTGTATTTTGGATCATCAGTCCACGAAATTGATCTCTGATGGTGCAATTTAAGGGGGGAAAATAGCTAGAAGTGTGTACAGGAAGGCTAGTAACTGCTAATAACACTACAACTGCACATTGCATACAATAGACCGTTGATTAACATGGAATAGTTACGTTACTGAAAACTCACTGTTAGATAAGATCCTGTAAAACAAACTGAAGAACTTGTGGGGAAAAATAATGTTATGTTCCTGGAACCCCCAAAAAATGGCAAACAAACTTTTCATTTTACGTCTCCAAAAAGTAAAAAATAAAAATAAAAATGGTGATGTAATTGTTGGTAGATAAGACACATAGGCAACATTTAGGCAACTTTATTCCGAAACGTTTCGCCTACACAGTAGGCTTCTTCAGTCAAGTACAGAAAGTAGGCAGGAGCAGTAGAGATGAGAAGACGATGTAATCAGTCCATCACCCTTGAAGTCGTAGATTTGAGGTTGTCAGTCCCTCAGCCTGGAGAAGTTCTGTTCCAAAGTTTGGAACTAACTAAGATCAAGCGACAGTGTTGAGACTTAAATATTGTGGGAAGGAGAGGTGCAGAGTAGTAGTAGTGAGAATGTAGCCACTGAGAGGTCATGTCCCTCTCAGATCAAATGATTCTCACTTGAAAAGGTTGACCAAGGTGTTTTCTCTTCTGTACCAAGATGCCATTGTGTTGCAGTGTCTGACAGAGTGATTATCAAATGGTATACAATACCGACAGGTTGGTAGATAAGACACACAGACTGATTACATCATCTTCTCATCTCTACTGCTCTTGCCTACTTTCTGTACTCGACTGAAGAAGCCTACTGTGTAGGCGAAACGTTTCGGAATAAAGTTGCCTAAATGTTGCCTATGTGTCTTATCTACCAACCTGTCGGTATTGTATACCATTTGATGATGTAATTGTTGTTCATTGTCGTGATGTATTATGTTTAATGCATTTGTTAAGGCTACAAATGTTACAGAAATAATATTTGTTGTCTCAAATTGTGGTGCTGGTGTTTGTCAGTGATTGTGAACAGTGGCCATACTGGGCTGATGTGGATTGTTAGCTGAGGTGGATGGTTGTGGATTGTTTACTGATGTGGATGGTTGTAGAATGTTAGCTGAGGTGGATGGTTGAGGCTTTGGCACTAAAGTTGATGGTTGTATTGGAATGATGAGAAATTCTGTACAATACATTTGCAAAAATATGACAGGCTATCATCTGCTATCACTTGTATTTATCAGTAAAAAAATATATTGTATCAGCTAAGACACGATTTTTTACTAAATAAATATGTCCAGAGTATTACCCACCATTACAAACTATCCAACAAAACATGAAAATAGTGATAATATCACAAGAAAAGCTTTTAAGGCCATTAGTATGTGTTATTATTGTTATGTTTATGTCATGACAACCCTAGTGTTGTCACAACTTTGGTGTTGTAACTGCTGTGAAATTAACTACCAGAATGCTTTTGCAAATATAAACTATTTGGTACATACAGTAGACCATCATTTAACATGAGTTTATTTGGCATGTTTTGGTTATAGCACAGTTGAGAATTTGCAGCACAATTTTATACAGCACTTCCTAAGATTAATTTAACACAGTTCCGTCAGCGGGAGGGGAAAAAAATTTGAGTGTGCAGTCCCCGTCCCCCACCACCCTCCCAGTCCGGTTCATTCATGTGTTGGACGAACCTCCGTTAGGAGCTCGCTGTGTTTCCTTAGATGGTATTTTAATTGCCATATCTTAAATCTGCCAAGCAATCATGGCACCCAGTAAGCATACAAGTGTTGCTGAAAGTGGCAAGAAAAGGTTTAAGTGTTTAAGTCTAGGAGTTATAAAGAAAATCAAGATATTAGACAAGCTTAAGACGTCTGGTGGATATAGTGAGGGCCTTAATGAAGTGTCAGTTCATACCGTTAAAAAAAGTGAGGCGAATATATGAGCTTGTGTAATGAATAACCCAAGATGTCATCACATGAAAAGAATGACACGTATATCACAACAAGTAAATAAAACTGAGAACTTGTTGCTTGAGTGGATCGAACAAAAGATAAAGAAAGGTGCACCACTTAATTTAATCATAATTAGGTAAAAGTCCTTACAGTTGTTTAAAGCAGTGTGTGATAAAGAAGGCCTGAAAAAGTGTGTGTGTTTAGCACAGGCTGGTTCCACACCTTTAAGTTGCATAATAAGTTACATAATATTAAGTTTTCTGGTGAAAGTGCTTCAGCTGATCATACAGCAGCAAGTAATTTTCCTGCTGAATTGCAGGAAATTGTTTCTGAGGGTGACTATGAGCAACATCAAGTGTTTAATGCTGACGAGACAAGTGTTTTTTGGAAGAAAATGCCAAGACGAACTTATATCAGTCAGCAAGAGAAAAGTGCACCGAGCTTCAAGACAGCAAAGGATCGCTTCACCTTGCTTCTTTGCGCTAATGCATCAGGTGATTTCAAGTGTAAGCCCATGGTTATTTACCGCTCTAAGAATCCTCGTGCTTTGAAAGGTGTAGATAAAAACACATTACCAGTAATTTGGAGGTCAAACCAGTCAGCATGGATGACAGAGGAAATATTTATTGACTGGTGTAAGCATCACTTTATTCCTGAAGTCAAGTTTTACCTGCACAGCAAGAACCTCACATTCAAGGCTCTCTTCATTCTTGATAATTTCTGTACTCATCCACAAACTTTGCTGGATGTGACCCCACATGTTAAAGTTGTATTTTTACTTCCAAATACAACATCCCTAATTCAACCACTGGATTGGGGAGTTATTCAGTCATTCAAGTGTAACTACACAAAAAAAGTTATGAAAAAACTAGTTGCATCAGTGGACTCTGATTCTAACTTGGCAGTACCAAGCTATCAGCTATGCTAGAAGTGCATGGAATGAAGTGCCCCAATCAACATTAAATGCAGGCTGGGGAAAGTTATGGCCTCCTGTAGTTAATTCTTTCACTGGTTTTTCCCTTGCTTGAGAGTCAGGTTCAGGAAATTGTTCAGCTGGCAAGGAGATTACCAGGTGATGGTTTTGAAGATATGAATGATGATGATGATGTGAATGAGCTCTTAGAAGATAATGATGATGAAGACATGAGTCCAGGGGAAATGTTGGCAGAGCTGGATACACAGATACAAGGGAGCCAGATAACAGAAGATGAAGAAGAACCTGAAGAAAAACAGTTAACATTGCAGCAGTTCCATAATATTGGTAAAGTTACAGACTTTTTCACTGAAGACGACCCTGACAAATCTAGAAGCAGTGCTTTGAAATGGGGTCTAGACCAGCTGATGATGCCTTACCATCAGCTGTATAATGTACTGCAGGGTAAAAGAGCCCAGAGATCCATTACAGAATTTATGCACACTCAAATACAACTATCAAAGTTAGTACCAGAACCTCTACCATCCACTTCTGCTGACAACCAACAACCATCCACCTCAGCCCAGTAGGGCCACACCATCCATATCCACTCTCTTCACAATCATCCACACACACCAGTACCCACAATTTAAGGTAAGAAATATTATTTCTATTGCATTTGTAGTCTTAAGCAGTAATATATCATGACAATGAACTACAATTACATATGCACTTTTATTTTTGTAGGATCTGTTGGTCAATATAAAAGTTGTTTGGCTTTTTGGGGGCTCCCAGGAATGTAACCCTATTTTTCCCATAAGTTCTTCAGTTCATCTAACAAAGTTTGACCTCGCACAGCATTTTCAGGAACAAAACTACTGTGTTAAATGATGGTTTACTGTATGTATTAATAAATTTATTACAGTAAAGGAATATAATAAAATAATAATTTCCTTTGTGGTTTTCAACAATGTAAATATCAGTAAAAGGATGGATGGATGGGATGCTCACAGACTGGTAGCCCTTAACACCACAGTATACAAGTGTACCAACTAAAATGTTGCACAAATACATATGAAGTAGGTATTGTATATAAATTATATCCAGATTCTTTTCATTATTTAACCTTTATTATGCAAAGGAAGGTAAACAGAAGGTATATAAACATTGGGAAGGTCTCTCATGGACACGTACAGTTTGTGTCAACTCTCCCAGTTTGTATATAAACATTGTCTCCAGCAAGCTCACATTTGAGCAGAGTAAGTTTATTTAGGCACAGGTACACATAAGTACAATTATCATACATAGTATAACTCACCTAGGATAACCCAAAAAAGTCAATGATTTATTGATATAAAAACCATAGCAAGTATTGACTGGTGCAGGAATCAACTAATTTAATCACAAACACAGATCTGAGAAACATATGGGACACTTATGTATGGACCAATGAGAGGTGGGACGGGGGAGGCAGGGCACGAAGCTAGGTCTCTCCCACAAAGACAATGGACTGACACAGTCAGGCTGCCCATGAGTCCACTAGATGAAGGGAAAGATCCTGCAGTCCAGTTCGCTGTGCTCCAATTTTTTACCCTAGAAGTGACACCGTGTTAGTCAAATTTTACAGTGTGTTAGTCGAAGATGTCACAATTTTGCAATAGTGTAGTGGAGAAAATGGTAAAAGATCGCATGTTAATTGACAGTCTGTTGTATTAAAGTGTGGAAAATACAGTAAGTAAATGAAAAGAGAAGGAATAATCTTGTGGCACTGCCATAATAAATATTTGAAGTTGTGGGCACCACAGTATACATTAGGGCCCCCTTATACAGTGGGTTAGGGCCCCACTTATACAGTGGGTTAGGGCCCCACTTATACAGTGGGTTAGGGCCCCACTTATACAGTGGGTTAGGGTCCAGGCTACCGATGTAAAGCTGGGCCCTACTATACACTCTTTATTTATAACCACAAGTCTCAGGAAAACTAACACATGTGATTAAATTACTTGATTCCTGCACAGTGTTGTACGTGTCCATGAGAGACTCTCCCAGTACTTGCCTAATTGTACTCACCTAACTGTGGTTGCAGGGGTCGATTCACAACTCCTGGCCCCACTTCTTTGCTGGTAGCTACTACGTCCACTCTCTTCCTGCTTCATGAGCTTTATCATACCTCTTCTTAAAGCTATGCATGGATCCTGCCTCCAATACATCACTCTCCAGACTATTCCACTTTCTGACAACTCTATGACTGAAGAAATGCTTCCTAATACCCCTGTGACTCATCTGAGTCTTCAACTTCCAATTGTGACCTCTTGTTGTTATTTCACATCTCTGGAACATCCATTCTCTGTCCTCTTTGTCAGTTCCTCTCAATATTTAATATGTTATCATGTTCTCCCTGTCTCTCCTGTCCTCCAGTGTTGTCAGATCAATTTTCCTTAACCTCTCCTCGTAGGACATACCCCTTAGCTCCGGGACTAGTCTCATTGCAAACCTTTGCACTTTCTCTAATTTCTTGATGTGCTTGACCAGGTGTGGGTTCCAGACTGGTGCTGCATACTCGAGTATGGGCCTGACATACACAGTGTACAGAGCCTTGAGTGTTTACAGTAGGGACCCACTTATACGGCAGGTTAGGTTCCAGGCTACTGCCGGAACACCATTTTTTTCACTTATAAATGCATATAAATGCCTGATAACAAGTTTACACAAACATATATTAAGTTAGCAGTAGAACTAGGTATTAAAAATAATAAGTAAAATACACACAAAGTACACTCATTACTTACCTTAAAATATTTGTAGTCTTAATGTAGGGTGAGAGGTGAGTATTTATTGTAAAAAGAGAGAACAACAAGAACAAAGAATGGAAGAAGTACAAAAGAAGTTCACAGTAAAGGGGTTAGCTGGTGTGTTTGTCTGTGTGTTAACATTCTCTGTGTCTCTCGTGGCAGCTTGAGAAAAGATTAAACTCACCGAACAAGGTATGTTGATGGTAATAATAATAATAAATACTAATTGCTTTGGAATGCTTTAAATGTCATACATATTTCGTATAGGTTTGGTAGCTAACATTTAAAGCACTCCAAAGCATTTATCATTAATTGTTATTGTTAATTATTATTATTATCAACATACCTTGTTCACTGAGTTTAATCATTTCTTAAGCTGCCACGAGAGAGACAGAGAATGTTAACACACAGATGAACACACCTGCTAACCCCTTTACTGTGAACCTCTTACGTAATTCTTCCATGTTCCTCATGTTTTTCCTCTTCCAAGTGCTGCTGCACTTCTGACTCTATCTTGTACTACGGGGTGCACAATAAAGTACAAATTTGTACAAATATGTAGTCTTGTAGACTGTGAAAGCTAGTGTACTGAGTGGCTGTAGGAAGGAGATTGAGATGCTTGATGCTGAGACGCTGTGCTGCCTGTTTCCATGACCCAGGTTCTCGTAGGGCATACAATACCAACTCGTGGGAGAGCCTGTCGTAACTCTGAGTTTTTAGTAAATGAGTATGTCGGTAAGTGAGGAGAGGCTGTATTTGTAGAAAGTCAGGTGTGGGAGGTATGGTAGCCTTCCTGGCCACCTCACCTACTATGACATTTAAAGTGCCTTAGAGCGATAAAATGCATATACAGTACACTCCTTACTTAAAATATTTGTAGTCTTAATGTAGGGTGAGAGGTGAGCAAATGAAATAAAAGCAAATAAACGAGAGAGAGAGAGAGAGAGAGAGAGAATGAGTCAGTGAGACAGGACAGAGCTGCAAAGTATGTAAACAGATGAATGTGTCTGGGTATGGTTCATACACATTCCTTTCCATGTCTGTGAAGCTTATATCATAATGCAAACACCTTTCATTTTGTACAAGTTGTCTCCATGTTGGTAAAGTAGAATAAATAAAGAGCAACACTTCCATTCTCATGTAGCACATCAATTTTAGAAGGAATGGCACTCTGAGTGAAGGCATACAAAAGGAATTATTTTCTACAGTTACCCCCAGTAATACTACTGTGTATGCATTTCCGTTGGTGTTGAACACTCCGACAAGACAACTGGAAAAACATTTCATATTTATGTTAATTTATTCTAGTGTTGGTGTGTTTATATGTTACGTAGCGTGTTTATTATATAATTTTGAAAAAAATATCGTAGATGGATCAATCAAAATGTTTATACAGTGGAACCCTGGTTATAGGCCTTCGCGGAAATCCGCCGATGGCCTATAACCGTATAACTGGTTATAGGCTGTCGGCAAAATTTTGCTCCGATTATCGGCCATGCTCTCAGAAATAGGCTGTATGAGACGCGTCACCACCGACTGCCGATGCTCTTCCTTACGCCTATCACACTTAGTCTGTGGTCTCTCTCGTTGGATTAGGAATATTTCGCAGCTTCATCCATTGTTTCTGATGATTTTTGTTAATTGCAACTGTGAAATAAGTCAAAAAAGTTCAGAGTGCCAGCCTTTGATGAAGAAGGTGAGAAACACAATAGAATTCAAGAAAGAACCTGTAATAAAAATATAAACAACATAGAAATACAATGGAAATAAGTCACTCTGATTTTTTGGGGGTTATCTCAGGTTCTCTACACATATGCTGCTTGTATGATAATTATGTAACTATGTAACTGCTATGTATGATGATCTATGTAACTGTATGTGGGCAAACCTAAATGAACTTACTTATAGAAACATGATATATACTCTAGAATGAATAAAATGTTTCATTATATGACGAGTGTTTACGGCCAGTAGTGACATGATATGATTACCACACTGAACATGTCTTCCCATTTTCGCCCTGAGGTTGTGGGATAAGAGAAAACGGAGTGTTTGTGAGGCTAACTGCACTAGATCACCTGATATTTGCAGGTGTTAGTGGTTGTGGTGGAGGCAGGTGTTAGTTGTGGCAGGTGATAGTGGTTGTGGTGGAGGCAGGTGTTGGTTGTGGTGGAGGCAGGTGTTAGTTGTGGCAGGTGATAGTGGTTGTGGTGGAGGTGGGTGTTAGTTGTGGCACGTGATAGTGGTTGTGGTGGAGGCAGGTGTTAGTTGTGGCAGGTGATAGTGGTTGTAGTGGTGGCAGGTGATAGTGGTTGTGGTGGAGGCAGGTGTTGGTTATGGCAGGTGATAGTGGTTTTGGTGGAAGAAGGTGTTAGTTGTGGGACTGCCTCTCATATGTTTGTACATGTATTGTACAGGGTCAGATAGCTTGTTGTATATTTTTATAGGTATTGTACAAGGTCAGATAGCCTGTCATATGTTTGGACAGGTATTGTACAAGGTCAGATAGCCTGTCATATGTTTGTATAGGTATTGTACAGGGTCAGATAGCCTGTCATATGTTTGGACAGGTATTGTACAAGGTCAGATAGCCTGTCATATGTTTGGACAGGTATTGTACAAGGTCAACCCTGTCACCATCTTGGAAGTGACAAGGTCAATACTTCATAGTTACAGTATTGTAAAGTATGCCTTGTCATTGTCTACAGTATGTCAGGTCGATAGCTTCATACATTGGACAGTATTACAAGTCACCTCCAGTAGTAACAAGCAATAACAAAAGTGAATATGTTTTCTGTACACAGATATGCTTCCCATCACCGTAAAATTACTGAGTGTAAAACACCAAAGCTTACAACATCTACACTCCAGTAAACATAATTGGGCCAAACTACACCATCTACCTCAGGCTGTAGGTCACAATATCCCTTCATCTATTTAAATAACATACTAAACAAACAAAATCACAACACACCAGCTACAGTTACATTATTAATTTATTTATTTTTTACATTATGGAGACCTACAAAAAGTTATTTGCCATTTTTTGGGTCCAAGGAACGTAACCCTAATTTTCCCATATGTTCTTCACTTTGTTTAGATGATTTTTTTTGTCTTAAATCCTGTTTTCAAGAATGTAAGTGCCATCTTAATCAACGGTCCACTGTATATATTTTACGTGGAGTATCAGGTGTCATAAAGTGTCATAACATGTGTCATGTTGACAGGTGAACAAGAGGACAAGGTATGACAAGCTGCCCATCCAGGCCAACTACTACCCCATTCCATCATTGGCATACATCCAGGATGACGACACCAGACTGTCACTACTCAGTGCTCAACCACTCGGTGGATCCTCCCTCGCCAGTGGTCAGCTGGAGGTACCACTATTATTATTATATTACCTTGCTCACACTCCATTAGCTCATCAAATCCCAAAATCCATTCGTCTCCACTCACTCCTAACACACTCACACATGCTTGCTGTATGTCCAAGCCCCTTGCACACAAAACCTCCTTTACTCCCCTCCCTCCATCGTTTCCTAGGACAACTCCTACTCCTCCTCCCCTCCATTACAGATTTATACACCCTCCAAACCACCTCAACAACCCCTCCTCAGCCCTCGAATAATAATATTAACCCCTTCAGGGTCCAAGGCCCAAATCTGAAGTGGTGCCCCAGTGTCCAAGAATTTTCAAAAAAAAAATTTATTTTTCTTATGAAATGGTAGAGAATCTTTTTGTGAAGGTAATAAAACAAAAAGTACGAAATTTGATGGAAAATTGACGAAATTATGCTCTCGCGAATTTTGATGTGTCAGCGATATTTATGAATCGGCGATTTTGCCGACTTTGACTCCCATTTTAGGCCAATTACATTATTCCAGTCGACCAAATTCTTAGCTATTTCACTAGTATTACTTCTATTCTATCGATTGAGCACAAGAAATCGCCAAGTCAACTGTTCCAACTACAAAATAAAGTGATCGGAAATTGTTAATTTGGCCAATTTAACACAAAGTTCAAAATATTCCAATTCAAAATAGGGGTCCAGAATAAACAATGTAGGTATTCCTGGAACTAAACTAACATTTCCTCTGTTCATTAGTTACGTTTTGAGGCTTTACAAATAAATCCCATTTTGATTTTTTATTCACATAATGAATTTTTATTCACACCAAAAAATAGAAGATTTACTGTTATGCAATATTGTAATAATTGTATAAATATCATCACCACATTTGTGAATGCATATTAGACCCACCAGCTGATGTGTATTAGACGTGTGAGGTCGTTTGTTTACTCTTGAATATCGGCAAAAAATTAACATTTCTGCTACTTTGAGCTCAGTTTCAAGCCATTTCCAGTGCTAAAACCAATCAAAATCATCTCTATTTCTGTAATATGTCTTCCATTCTATCAAATGAGACCAAGAAATCGCAAATACAACTATAAAAAACATACGAAAAAACACTGCAAAGTCGCTGTTTTAATCGAAAAATCATGATTTCAGTTTTTTTCTCTCATTATACACAGTGTGCTGCAGGATCTGTTTTATGTGGTGCACACATACCACATAGATGTATTCTCTCATATCTAGGCCCAAATGTACCACTCACAGCTTATCAGAGTGAGCTGAGCTCATGACATAGATCTACGGTTTGGACCCTGAATGTAAAGCCGTAGATCTATGGGATGGACCCTGAAAGGGTTAATAACTCCATACATCCTAATTTCCACACTACAAATCCTCTGCATAATATTCACACCACACATTGCCCTTAGACACAACATCGCCACTGCCTCCAGCCTCCTTCTGCTGCAACATTCACAATCCATGCTTCACACCCATGTAAGAGTGTTGATGCCACTATACTCATACATTCCCTTCTTCACCTCCATGGATAATGTTCTTCATCTAAACAGATACCTCAGTGCACTACCTACCTTTTTTTCTTCATCAATCCTATAGTTTACCTCAGCCTTCATAAACCCATCCTCTGACAACTTTACTACCAAATATCAACATATTCACTTCTTCCATACTCCCTCCCTCCACTCTGATACCTTGATACCCTCATCACCTTACTCTTATCTATTGCTTCCTTATCCACCCTATCATAAGATTTTCTAAATCCATAAGACCAATGAAAACTTCCCTACCTTCATCTAAATATTGTTCTCTTACATGCTTCATTGTAAACACCCTTACCTACACATCCCTAACCCAGTCTAAAGCCTCCTTGTTCATCTGTGATCCTGCTCTCCACCTTACCTCTAATTCCTTCATAATAAATCTACCATACACTTTACCAGGTATAAGATAAGGTAAGATAAAATACTTTATTCCATTATGATACAATGTTTGTAGAGAAGTGAACGACAGATGTGCGTACAATAACACTCTTAATATGTAGAGTATTTCCCACAAACTTGAAACATTAATAAGGCATTAACTAATGGTTTATATAAACATTCTTTTAGGTGGTTGTAAATATAAATTGTTTATATATATATTCTCTTAGGTGGTTGTAAATATAAATTGTTTATATATATATTCTCTTAGGTGGTTGTAAATATAAATTTAGGAGTTAAAGTGAAAACAAGAGAATTGAATATCCTATTAGTACATGATATATGACTTTTATCAAGTTCATATTGTTTATAAGAATTACTCATTTGTTATAGATTATAATTGTGAGGATTAACAAAAAGGCATGAATAACATAACTGAACAATACAAAATCAACCCGCAAAGAAGCACAAGAGTTGATGTTTCAGTCCGACTTGGACCATTTACAAAGTCACACTTTGCAAATGGTCACCAAGTTGGACCAAAATGTTGTTGTAAGCTCCTCTGTTCTTTGTCCGGTTTATTTGTGTATGTAGTGAGGATTCTTGCATATTAACATAATGTGAACACAATCAGTGTTTTAATGGTTCTGAGGATTACAGATATTAACAATAATTACATATTGTTTTACATATGTTAGTGACATTGAGAATATGGATATGTATATAGTTTTCATATATTTAGCTGATGTTGGGATATGTTAGGGAGAGAACGTGTTTTGTAAAGGTTGTTTTGAAGATGCTGGCTGAGACAGTGGCTCTGGAGATGCTGGCTGAGGCAGTGGCTCTGGAGATGCTGGCTAGCATGCCTGACAGAGCTGGAGGCAGTGCTCTGACAGATGCTGGCTGAGGCAGTGGCTCTGACAGATGCTGGCTGAGGCAGTGGCTCTGACAGATGCTGGCTGAGGCAGTGGCTCTGACAGATGCTGGCTGAGGCAGTGGCTCTGACAGATGCTGGCTGAGATAGTGGCTCTGGAGATGCTGGCTGAGGCAGTGGCTCTGCAGATGCTGGCTGAGGCAGTGGCTCTGGAGATGCTGGCTGAGGCAGTGGCTCTGCAGATGCTGTCTGAGGCAGTGACTCTGGAGATGCTGGATGAGACAGTGGCTCTGCAGATGCTGGATGAGACAGTGGCTCTGGAGATGCTGGCTGAGACATTGGCTCTGCAGATGCTGGCTGAGACAGTGGCACTGGAGATGCTGGCTGAGACAGTGGCACTGGAGATGCTGGCTGAGACAGTGGCTCTGAAGATGCTGGCTGAGACAGGGTCTGAGCTGGCTGAGATGCTGGATGCTGTGAGGCAGTGGCTCTGAGATGTGGATGACGTGCTCTGAATGCTGTGAGACAGTGGCTCTGAAGATGCTGGCTGAGACAGTGGCTCTGAAGATGCTGGCTGAGACAGTGGCTCTGGAGATGCTGGCTGAGACAGTGGCTCTGAAGATGCTGGCTGAGACAGTGGCTCTGAAGATGCTGGCTGAGGCAGTGGCTCTGAAGATGCTGGCTGAGACAGTGGCTCTGAAGATGCTGGCTGAGACAGTGGCTCTGAAGATGCTGGCTGAGGCAGTGGCTCTGAAGATGCTGGCTGAGACAGTGGCTCTGAAGATGCTGGCTGAGGCAGTGGCTCTGAAGATGCTGGCTAAGACAGTGACTCTGAAGATGCTGGCTGAGACAGTGGCTTTGCAGATGCTGGCTGAGACAGTGGCTCTGCAGATTTACAGCAGAGTTCCTTTTTATGTACGTTGAATTTTTACAAGTGTTAAGCTGGACACAGGGTATGTTGTAGAGATTTTTGTGCCTAGTATTATGTCTGTGGGTCCTGTTGCAACTATCAAAAAAGTGTTTCAGATCGGGATTAATATTAGATTTTATTGTTCTGTAAATGTAGGATGCCTGTAGTAGAGTGATGTTTGTAAGTGAGTGTGCAGTCTTGATGAGTTGAGGGGGTGAGTAGTGCAGGTTTTGATGATTGAGGGGGGGTGAGTAGGTGCAGGTCTTTGATGAGTTGGAGGGGGGGGTGAGTAGGTGCAGGTCTTTGATGAGTTGGAGGGGGGTAGTAGGTGCAGGTCTTTGATGAGTTGGAGGGGGGGGGTGAGTAGGTGCAGGTCTTTGATGAGTTGGAGGGGGGGGGTGAGTAGGTGCAGGTCTTTGATGAGTTGGAGGGGGGGGTGAGTAGGTGCAGGTCTTTGATGAGTTGGAGGGGGGGAGGGAGGGGGTGTCTAGCCGTGGACTGTGTGATCATTAGTACTGCAGCTTTTTGTTGAGTTATTATTGACTTTAGGTAATTTGCTGTTGTGGATCGTCAGGTACAAATATCATAGGTGAGGTAGTGATAGATTAGTGAATAGTATAATGTAAGTAGTGCTGTTTGTAGTACATAATAATGTATTTTGGAGAGGATGACAACTGTTTTGGACACTTTTTTGTTATGTGTTGGATGTGGATCTTGAAAGTTTCTGTCAACTTGCAGACCCAGAAATTTTCCCTCATTATGTTTAGCAATCATAATGCTTCTATATTATGCTTCTCCCAAGCATAATATAGAAGGTTTTGTCTGTGTTAAGTGTGAGTTTATTGGTAGTCATCCAGGTTGATATTTTTAAGAGTTCTTAATTAACAATGTTGTTGAGTGATGCTGGATTTGGGTGGGAGACGACAAAAGTTGTGTCGTCAGAATACAGAATAGTAGGTCTAAGTTGTTGCGATATATTTGGAAGGTTGTTGATTTATAAAAGGAAAAGTAGGGGGCAAGGACACTTCCCTGTGGAATGTCAGTGTCCAAAGGTCTTGATGAAGAGGCTATATCTTTAATATAGATGTACTGCTTTTTGTTAGTAAGGTAAGACTATATATATGCAAGTGCATGGCCTCTGATACTGTGATGATCAAGTTTGTGGAGTAGGATGTTGTGGTCTACTCTATCAAAAGCTTTCATTAGGTCAGTAGAGAGTCCTAGTGGATATACATTATTTTCGAGTGCTATATAAAGTAGGTCTTGCATTTTTATAATTGATGATGGCATGGGTTGAGAAT